GAGTGTGGGGACGTGGGGGGTCCTCATCCCCTGAGTGTGGGGACGCGGGGGTCCTCATTCCCTGCGAGTAGGTACATGGGGTGTCCTCACCCCCGAGTGTAGGAATGTGGAGTCCTCATTCCCCCTGAGTGGGAGGACATGGGGGGAGCTCCTCATACCCTCTAGCATGGGTATGTGGGGCCTCAAACCCCTGAATACATGAGTTTGGTAGGGTCCTCACCCCCTGAGTGTGGGGACGTGGGGGGGGGTCCTCACCCCCGAGAGTGTGGGGACGTGGTAGGGTCCTCACCCCCGAGAGTGTGGGGACGTGGAAGGGTCCTCACCCCCGAGAGTGTGGGGACGTGGAAGGGTCCTCACCCCCTGAGTGTGGGCACGTGGTAGGGTCCTCACCCCCTGCGTGTGGGGACGTGGAAGGGTCCTCACCCCCTGCGTGTGGGGACGTGGGGGGGTCCTCATTCCCCCTGAGTGTGAGGACATGGGGGGCTCTTTATTCCCTCTAGTGTGTGTATATGGGGCCTCAAACTCTTGAATATGTGGATTTGGTGGGGTCCTCATCCCCTGAGTGTGGTAATTTGGGGGATCTTTGTCCTCCTGAGCATGAGGCTATGGGTGGTCCATCCACTCAGGGGAGTGTGGGGACTTGAGGGGGTCCTCATCCCCTGAGTGTGGGAACATGGGGTCCATCTTCCCCTCTGGACCTTGGTTGGTGGTAGGTGTCCTCCCTTAGCCCGTGTCTTTTCTTCCACCCTCCTGGCATCTGTGAGCACGCCTGTTCACTGCTGATCCCATGTGGCATTTGTGTTCCTGCTGTGGGGTCTGGGCCACTGTTTAGTCCTTCTGCATTATATGTGTTTCTACACGTCAGAGACACAATGTGCCTGTAGTGTCCCTTGCATTTGCTCAGAACATGCCCCAGTCTTCAGTTGTCCATGGTAGACTCATGGAGTCAGCTTCTTTTTTCAAAGTGTCTCGATATCCCTCTGCTTTGACTCAGAAATACACGGTCAGAGCAGTGAAGATATGGGCTGAGTTCAGCCACATTCCATAGATTCCCATGGATCTGGAGACAAGAGAAGAGGAAGGTCTGGTTGGTCCGAAGTGTAGTGAGACCTGAGGACTCCTGAGCCCATGGACAAGGACATAGCCACCGAAGGCTAGAGCTGAGAGTAGAGTTTTCAGCTGATATGAAGTGAGGGGAGTTGGACAACAATGCCCAAACTTGCAGATCGTACCCATTTGACCTAACCTCGATGGCTTCATAATCAGAACTTGACTAGAGGAAGATAAAAACAATTTTTGATAAAGAAAATGAGTATAAATTGCTATAATTTGATGAACTTGACCTATACTTATGGATGTAGTAGCTCAAAATACCAACTGAGAGGGAATGAATCTTTATATCAAGTGTCAATCCTATCTCTTCTGTACAGAAGAGATAGGGACAGGTAACTTAGACATTGGCTACCTGAAATGAGGGGTGATAAAGCATGAAGTGACTGCTTACAGTATTTCAAGAGGGAGTTTAGTTTAAGAGTATGTGGGGGAAGATAGAGTCCCCACTGAATGGTTTTCATCTTGTGTAGATGGGTCTGGTAAAAAGAGACGGGGATAAAATGAGTAATTGCTACTGTCACAATGACAAAGGTAAAGTTTTGTAACAAAAATAAGGGAGTAGTTAATTTTACAGTCCAGAAACAGAGGACCCTAGGGACCATCAAGGGAGAAAAGTGCAAACAGAATGTGGGACCCTATCCAGAGAGGCAACGACACCAGAGATGGAGGCAGAGATGAGGACATGGAGAGAGGGGGCAGCAGAGGACTCTGAACTAATGGAAAGAGAGGGACTGAGTGCTGGTGGCCAGGAGGCAGGTTTGCAGAATGTGCCCTTTGGTTGTTTAAATTATTAAATATATTTCTGAGTGTTTTTGTGTACAGCCCACCACCACCACCACCACCCCCCAAAAAAGAGGGAATGGAAGCAAATACTGTTGAATGATGACGCACAGAGGAGATTGTAATCATTGCAGTGAAATGATGGTATAAAGTCGATGTTCTCCCATGTAAACTATCACTTAGTTCACAATAAAAAAAAGAAAGAAAAAAAAAAATGAATGAACACAGTATAGATTAATTTGTAATTGGTTTTGCTAAGTAATAGAAGCCAATGCCCTGCAGGCTACATTTTTTATGATTTCATTTATATGACATTCTGCAAAAGGCCAAACTGTAGGGATGGAAAGCATGATCCGAGGCTGCCAGGCTTTGGTGTATGGGGAGTCGCTGACTGTAAAGGGGGCACATAAGGATATTTTAGGATGATGCCACGCTTCTGTATATAATCTGGCGATGGATACATGATTATACATTTCTAAGGATCCTTAGAACTGTATGCCACTAAGAATGACTTCTATTGTATGCAAACTTTAAAAATGAACCTGGATGTCAGCGGACCTCCGAATAAAATGCAGTCTGTGAAAAATGGAAAAAAAAGGTAAAAGCAATACACTGTCAGTTTCTCCCCGGGTAGCTGGTGTTGTCTCCTAGTCCTCCTGCCATATGACAGTTGGGTCCCAGGGGATGGCTCCCTGGTTGCTTTCCCAAATTCTCCTGACACCTCAGAAACAGAGTTGCTTCTTAAAGCCCATCTGTGTGTGGATTTGTTGGCAAAGTGTCCTGGTGCGATCGCCTCCGTTCTCTGGTTCAGCTGTAAGCTGCAGGCCTCACCAGCAGTGTTACCAGCAGCATTCCCTGGGTGACTGCCGTGACTGGGAACTGAAGTTTGCCTTGTAGAGAGGTAGCAGGAACGGTGCCAGGAGGACTTAGACCTTGAACCCTGCTTCTAGACCAGACCAGTGTGGGAAGGGTGGGAGGTCAGGGTCAGCCAGGAGGGTGACTCGAGGGGCCAAAGTCGGTTAGACTTGGTTTCCCCACTGAACCTACTGCCTTTGAGCCCATTCCAACTCAGCACAATCCTATAGGGCAGAGTAGAGCTGCTCCTTGAGCGCCCCAAAGCTGTCAGTCTACATGAGCAGACAGCCCATCTGTTCTCTGAGGAGCTCAACCCACTGTGCCACCAAGACTCTGTCGCTGAACCCTGAGACAGCGTTGCAGGGTAGACATTCTCACTGTCCCCACCTCACATGGATAGCACCAGGAAAGGCCACCTGGCTCTGGAACCTGGGAGGAGCTGGGCAGGTAATGCTGAGCTCTCCACATGCCATGCAGTGTCTGCGCCTCAGGCTGGGATGCCTGCAGCTCCCCTCGAGCAAGGTGTGGGCTCACTGTGCCCTTCTGTTTGCCCTGGCAGGTGATAGCAAGCTGAAAACGGTACAGGGAGTCGTGACCAGGTACTGCAGCGACTATGGCATGATCAATGACTTGATCTATTTCTCCAATGATGCTATCACGGGCAAAGTGCTTTTGAACGTTGGGCAGGAAGTCATTGCAACTGTGGAAGAAAACCAAGTGTCAAATGGACTCAAAGCCATCAGGGTAAGTATGGGTGGTTGGGGCAGCTGAGTTTGAACCTCCAGCCTTGCGGTCCAGTGCATTATCCTGGATGTAGTTCTGTACATTCATAGCCCAAACTTCTGTAGAAATCTATATAGAAATGTAAACATTACATTCAAGTTGCTTCTGAGGCTGTAAATCTTTGTGGGAGCTGAAAGCCTCATCTTTCTCCTATGGAGTGACTGGTGAGCTCAAACTGCTGACTTTGTGGTTCATAATTCACTGCTTACCCTATGGAGCACCACATAATGTGTAGTTTCACTCACTCAGAAAATCAAGTTTGCCTATAGAGAAGAATTCTGTAAGCACCTGGTATCTTTTCTCTTAATGGTTTTTAAAAGCTATTTTTTAAACATTGATAAATGCTGGGTAATTATTGTGTTCACAGATGAGCAAAGGTTATGAGAGGCAGATACCTTTTCTTGTAACAATTTTGAGTATAAGTCCTCAGATGAGGAACTGTGACGTCAAAGGGTCTGCATATGTAACATCTTACGGTTGTCACCAAGTCATTCTCCAGTGATCTCGGATCATGGATACTCTGGGAGCAGGAGGCAGGATTGCCCGCTGGTGTGGTGAGGATACAGAGAGGGTCTGTCAGGAAAAGTGATCTCATTTTTATTTGCATTAGAGCCTGAAAGTAACTTCTCACATGCTTTTCTGTGAATTATTTTCACAGCCTTTGCCCATTTTTTGTTGACTTCACATCTTTTATTAGAACTAATATTCAAGAAGGCTTCGAAGAGTGCATGGAAAAAATTCCATTATCTTTTTAAGTCCACCTTTCTGTGACCTCTTTGGAGCTCCCTCATATTAGGAAAATTGTTGTTGTTGTTAGGTGCCATCGAGTCGGCACCAACTCATAGCGACCTTATGCACAGCAGAACGAAACACTGCCCGATCCTGGGCCAACCTCACTACTGTTGCCACACTTGAGCCCATCGATGCTGCCACTTGGCCAATCCATATCATTGGGGGTCTTCCTCTTTTTCTCTGACCCTCCACCTTGGTGGTTATGTGCCATGGAGTCAATTCCAACTCATAGCCGCCGTGTACAGGGTTTCCAAAGCTGTAAATATTTATGAGAGCAGAAAGCCTCATCTTCTCCGTGGAACAGCTGGTAGTTTCGTATTGCTAACCTTGCAGTTCGCAGCCCGATTCATAACCACTACGCTGCCAGAGCACCTTACCAAACATGATATCCTTCTCCAGCAGCTTGTCCCTCCTGACAGTATATCCGAAGTATGAGAGACAGACAGAGTTTGGCCATCTTGGCCTCCAAGGAGCATGCTGGCTGCACTTTCGAAATGGATCTATTGGTTCTTTTGGCAGCCCATGGCACTTTCAATATTCTCCAACACCATAACTCAAAAGCATCAATTCTTCTACGGTCTTCCTCATTCACTGTCCAGCTTTCACATGCATATAAGGTTATTGAAAATTGGAGGGGGGTTTTAGGGAAATGATATGAGAATGTTACAGATATTTCTCACAAAACCATTTTCTTGACTTTTTTTTTTTTTTTTTTTAAGATAGTTTAATTTTATGTGGCTAATCAATTGAGTCTGTCTTTTCCATGTGACTTTTGTGTTCTCTAAGAAATCTGCGAAAGGCTCATTTCACTTCATAATTACAAATACTCATTCAGGGTTTCCCTGAGAATTCTTTGTCGTTTCGTGATGATGCCTGGAGCTCATTCTGGTGTAGATTTCCTACAGTCCTCACTCCATTGAGGAACCCACTTTCCTACTAGTTTCCTCTGAGCAAGATTCCCTGGCCATGCCAGGCTCCTGTGTTGGTAGAATGCACCCGAGGCCCTGCCTCAAAGTCTCTCTGGAATCTCCTCACTCTTCACACATTCAGGATGAATTTTTACGTCTTATGGCTTCCCTTCCTTCCCAGAGTCTACTTGGGATGCATGAGCTTACAGATTTCATTTAGGAAAGTGGCATGTTGCTAACCGTACCACAAAGTATGCCTGTGTGTATCTAAGCCTGCCTTTTATATTCTTCCTTTTAGCTGACTAATTGTCTTTGTTTGGATCCTACAAATTTCTTTAAAAGTTTATTTCTAAAAATTTTTGGTTTTGTTCCATCATCGTTATAATTTTTTATTGTATTTTCTAAACTAATCTTCTTATCTATGAAAGCTGTTTATTAATTTGGGTGAAGGTTTACAGAGTAACACTGTTTCCATTCATCAGTTCAATACATTTTTGTTTCATTGACTGAAATCCCCCAAGGTGACGTCATGTATCCCATTCCTCCCTGGGTTTCCTGTTTCCATTCCTCCTTCTGTCCTAACCTTTCTGAACTTTGTCCTTGGGCAGTTCTGACCTTTTGGTCCCAAATGATTTTTCTTAGAAGGTGTGCATATGTCCCTGGTGTTACTCTTCCCTAATAGACCTGTCTGTTGTTTGGCTGCATATCGGGCCCTGGGGGTGAGTTCACTTCCAGACCTGAAGGACCACTAACGGCCATAGTCTGGGCGATTCCCTGCTCTCCATCTGACCTGGAAGGCTGCTCTTTGTTCTGATTTTTCTCCCCCTCTCTCCAGAACCTTTTAATGTGATCTCTCGCAGAGCAGTCAGTAGTGGCTGGGTACCATCTGGTTCTGCTGGGTCCAGGGTCATGAGAGCTCAGGTTCACATGTTCCCTTAGTCTCCTGGTTGGTTTCCATACACCTCTGACTCAGTCTCACAAGGTATGTGGATACAGCTACGACGCTTCCATAGCTTTGCAGCAAAGGTGACTGTAAAACTATTCTCTCTAACCCTGTATGTATTGGTGGATATTGTCCCATTATCTTCCCACCATTCTCTCTAACCCTATATGTATTTGTGGATGTTGTCGTTAAGTGCCGTCGAGTCGGTTCCGACCCATAGCGACCCTGTACAGGGTTTCCGAGGGTGTAAATCTTTATGGGAGTAGAAAGCCTCATCTTTCTCCCAC